TAGGGGAGCCGGGAATGGGGAAGGGGCCCCCGGCATGGAGAAGGGTTGTCGGGGATAGGGAAGGGGCGCCGGGGGTGGGGTAGGGGAGCTGGGGATGGAGAAGCGGCCCCCGGGATGGAGATGGGGCGATAGGGAAGGAGCCCCCGGGAATGGAGAAGGGTCGTCAGGGATGGAGACGGTGACACATCCTATGAATTGAGGGGCCATGCTGAGCTGTCACCCCGGACGCGCCCTGTCAGTGGATTTGCGCAGAGGTCACCTATGATGGAAGCAGCACATGGGGAGCGCAGGGGGAGGAGCATCCATCATACATACACAGACTGAGGAGCCCCGGGCCCCTCCTCACCTACTAGAGGTATTCCAGCATCAACCGGCTGCTCCACCCTGAGCTCTGCCTCCCCCTCCTCATAGTCCTGCAGATGACATCATACTCCAGCAGCCAATCAGCATCCTGCTGCAGATTAAAGGGACACACACACCGTGTCAGAGTGCTTCAGTGGGCTCGGCCGGTGTCAGGGGTCAGTGAATCCTCTGAGGGTCATTCACACAATAACACAGGAAAACCAATCAGATTCCTTCTTTCATTCTCTCAGTAGTGGTTGCTAAGGGTAACAGCGCACTTGTCTCCAGTCACAGAGTAGAATGTGTAACACTGTGATGTGATCACCACTGACAGCCAATCAGATACTTCCTCTCACCTGGTAACCGGCTCGGAGGATTGTGATTGGTACAAGGTGATTGGTCCTTTTTCGCAGTCCTGGATGCAGGTGTCGTGGGCGGAGTCAGATGTAACGGTGGGAGGAGTTAGAGCTTCCAGCATCAGTCACACATGTTCCAATCTGATTGTACAGTCTTCTCTACATTGGGAGGGCGCAGACCGCTTCCTCCGATACCGATAAATAACCCAATCACATTGCATCAGGTACGGGCGAACGAATACCGGGAGACTCTCCCTCTGCAGCCGTTCACCGAGAGAAACCGAACATCAGCGAGAGACGTCAGCTCCTCGGCTCCTCCCATTCCTCGCAAAACCATCATCGGCCCCTCCCATTCCTCGCAAAACCATCATCGGCCCCTCCCATTGTCCCGCCCCGCCATCCTTAGCCTCTTCAAATGCCCGCCCCCTCTTCCATATACCGTTCGCTTACATGAGGGGGGAAGGTCACATGCTCACTGTAGCCTGTAAACAAACTCCTGCCAGCACCGGGTGCGACGTATGCGTCGCGGTGACGTCACACCAGCGCCATCTTTCTCCCACGCTGTCAACCATCTTGGTACTCCTAGTAGCCATGCCGGCTGTATCGGAGAAGGAGTCGGAATTGTCGGAGCGGATTGAAGCTTTCATCACTGGCCTGAAGAGAGGGGGAGGGCGGCCGAGCTCAGAGGAGACCGCCCGGGAGACTGTGGGCCTTCTCCGCCGTATCATCGCTCAGGCACGATGGAGCAACGCAGGTAAGACACCACCGACCTGTGGGTGCATTACAGGGTCTCCTCCGGATGAGGGTGTACAGTGGGGTCACCCCAGGTATGAGGGAGGGGGGTTGGGTGTCCCCCGGATGAGGGCGTACAGTGGGGTCACCCCAGGGATGAGGGCGGGGGGTTGGGTGTCCCCCGGGAGGAGGGAGTACAGTGGGGTCTCCCCTGGGATGTGAGAGGGGGTTGGGTGTCCCCCGGGAATGGGGGCGGCGGGGTCGCCACCTGTATAATGTTTCTCATTCCTCCAGGAGAACTGATGGACATTATCCGGAGGGAGGGGATGAGGATGACGGCTGCTCAGCCCTCAGAGACCACCGTAGGCAATATGGTGCGCCGGGTGCTGAAACTGATTCGTGAGGAGTACGGCAGGTGAGGAGCCCATCCCCCATGGGATCAACATGATGACTTCAGGAAGTGAGCCGGGCTGTGCCATTGGGGGGGATGGGGAGGGGCAGAATATTATACCCTGCAGATGAGGTTTAAAGAGTCTGTATCAATGCAAACCGCAACGGCCCTGCAAATAATGGGCCAATAATTCCCGCCTCCTCTGTAGTCTGATTGGCCACTGAGACAGTCCATCATAGTGAGGGGGAATGTCGGATCTCTACTGGTCAGACCGACCCGGCCTTCCTCCCCTTTAAATGCCTCAGTCACGGCACGCTGTGTCCTCCTCCCAGAGGCGGGTCTGAGCCCTGCTCGGGGTCATGTGGTTGTCGCCTTTCAGTGATTGGTCCGTCCGGTTGATTTGCCGCATGTTGTCCACCTTGTGTGCAGGCTGCGCGGTTGCAGCGAGGAGAACGACCAGCAGGAATCCCTCCACAAGCTGGTGATGGCGGAGGGGCTGAGCGAGGACTTCAACACGTCTTTCCCGCTGCTGAAGGCCAACGTGATCGAAGCCGTGAATGAGCTGCTCATCGAATTGGGTAATAATCTGCCACGCCAGCTGAGCGCCTCCCCTCCGATACACGCCTGTTTCTGATTGGTCAATGTCTCCCGGCAGAGGGCACCACCGACAACATCGAAACCCAGGCCAAGGAACACATCCATTCCAACGAGGTCATCATGACCATCGGCAACTCGCGCACGGTGCTGCGCTTCCTGAAGGAGGCCGCTCGCAAAAGGATCTTCCATGTTATAGTGGCTGAGTGCGCCCCCTTCTGTCAGGTGAGTGGAGGGCACTCTACGTGCCAGGTAAGTCCTTTACTCCCCAACGCTGACACTTCCTGTTTCTAGGGCCACGAAATGGCGGCCAATCTGGCCAAAGCGGGAATAGAGACAACCGTCATCACCGATGCCGCCATCTTCGCGGTCATGTCCCGTGTCAATAAGGTGAGTTGGGGGGGAGGGGGGGAGTGTCATTGTGGTCAGATCTGTGTGCAGCAAGTGACCCCCGTCCCTTTTTTCTCAGGTCATTATAGGCACCAAGACCATCCTGGCGAACGGCTCCCTGCGTGCGGTTTCTGGGACGCATGCCCTGGCTCTGGCTGCAAAGCATCACTCCACCCCGCTCATAGTGTGCGCGCCCATGTTCAAACTGTCGCCACAGGTACCTCCCACGTGGCCTGAATGTTGGTGGTAATCAAAGTGGCAGTTTGTGTAACTCCTCCCCCTCTTTAGTATTGCGGGCTCCTCCCCCTCACTGTGTCAGGTGGCGGGCTCCTCCCCTCACTGTCAGGTGGCGGGCCCCTCCCCTCACTGTCATGTTTTTCTGGCTCCTCCCTCACTTTATGCATTTGCCGCCCTTCCTTTGCTGTAAGTGGCCCCTCCCCTGCTGTGTTTGTGTAGCCCCTCCCTCGTCTGCTGTGGCCCTTCCCTCACTGTCAGGCTTTTCTGGCTCCTCCCTCACTTTATGCATTTGCTGCCCCTTCTTTGCTGTAAGTGGTCCCTCCCCTGCTGTCAGTTTGTGTGGCCCCTCCCTCACCTGCTGTGTGGCCCCTCCCTCACTCCCAGTGTTGGGTGATATCAGTGATTTGTCTTCTCTCTCTCCCTCCTTCAGTTCCCCAATGAAGAGGACTCCTTCCACAAGTTTGTCTCTCCACAGGAAGTTCTTCCATTCTCACAAGGTAGGTGGCGCTCTTCTCAGCTCCTCACCCGCGTGGTGTGTATGTCGGCAGTAATGTGTCTTCTTTCCACAGGTGAGATCCTGTCCCAGGTCAGTGCTCATTGTCCCATCTTTGACCACGTCCCGGCCGAGCTGATCACGCTGTTCATAACCAACATTGGAGGGAACGCGCCATCGTATATCTACCGCCTGATGAGCGAACTCTACCACCCGGCAGACCATGAACTGTGACATCTCCACCACCCCGCCGACCATGAACCGTGACTGGGCCATCTCCACCACCCCGCCGACCATGAACCGTGACTGGGCCATCTCCACCACCCCGCCGACCATGAACCGTGACTGGGCCATCTCCACCACCCCGTGGCCCATGTGATGGTCCCCCCTCTGCACTAATAAAACACAAAGACGGAATTCTGGGAATAAATATTGTATTGTGTGTCGTTAAGGCTCCGACTCAGCCTGTGACAGTTGTGGTCCTGGATGAGTCTCTGCTCTGATTGGCTGCTCCGTGCCACGAGATGACCCCGCCCCAAATAGCTGCCAGGCTTTGTAGTGGCGCCGCAGGCGGCTCAGGTTGGGCTTTGGTGGAACCTGCTGGCAGAAGGAGAGAGCGGTTAGAGCCGAGCCCGAGGTGTTCAGTCTGCCTGCTCACATGCAGGAGGCTTCTCTCCGGGCTCCTGAAGTGTGTCAGAGATTTGTACTTGGAGTCCATTGAGGGATTATACCGCCGGCCCCCTTCACTCCCCGGCATGTCTTGCGGTACGGAGGCCGGGACCTCCATGGATTGTAAGATAAAAGGTTTTGTGGTAATTGTATCTTGAATCTTTATCGGTCATTGCGGGACACAGAAATTCTCTGACCAGCGAGACTTCCAAAAAGTGGTCCCACCGAGGGGAGGGGGAGGGGAGACGGCCACCGATAGAACCATAACATGTATAGGAATGTCTGCAGGGACCAACTCCAGAATCCAAGATCCGTGGGGAGAGCTGCAATACCCGGACATGATGTTCCCCAGCAAGACTAGAAGTCCAGCACCAAGGGGGGCCCCTGCCGGAAGCAGCAATGGGGCCCCTGCCAGTGAGAACCGGAGAGTCACCTAACCAGTGAAAATAAACCGACCCGGGAAGAGCGCCTCCCTGGAGGGCAATTTGCAGATGAGGCATTGCAAGACTGACAGTTACAGGCATGACTCCCGGAGGCACAGTGGGATTTGTAGTTAAAGCACGGCTGGAGGGCCAGAAATGCCCACCCCTGGGCTAGAGCGTACCCCAAGGCTGACCCCCCCCGGTAGGTAGGTACGGTCTAAGATGATGCTGAGGAGCTGCTATGAGGAGAACGGCACAAGCCGAGTAGATGGGAATCCTGAAATCACAGAGGAGAGGAGGAGTTAGATTTCACTCGGCGGAGGCGTCCAATCAGCAAGCAAACAAAGGCATGCTGGGTTATATGGGGGCCGCATGACACGTTTGCCAGATCCCCGACCTCCTGAAGGCGGCAGTATAACCCGACTAATAGAACTTCTGTGTCCTGCAATTGACAGTAAAGAAAATAAATTGTCCAATGGGCCGGGCGGAACCCTGAAACCCGAACACACACCAGCCACACCCCTCATCTCCATGATTCATTGATCTTATGGTGTCATGTGTCCACCCCGGGTGCTCCTCCCCTCTCTGTGACTCCACCCTTGCTGAATCAGTAGCTCCTCCTCTCTCTGACTCCACCTTTGCTGAATGTCAGTCTGTGTAGCTCCTCCTCTGACTCCACCCTTGCTGAATGTCAGTAGCTCCTCCTCTCTCTGACTCCACCCTTACTGAATGTCAGTAGCTCCTCCTCTCTCTGACTCCACCCTTACTGAATGTCAGTAGCTCCTCCTCTCTCTGACTCCACCCTTACTGAATGTCAGTCTGTGTAGCTCCTCCTCTCTGACTCCACCCTTGCTGAATGTCAGTCTGTGTAGCTCCTCCTCTGTGACTCCACCCTTGCTGAATGTCAGTAGCTCCTCCTCTCTGTGACTCCACCCTTACTGAATGTCAGTAGCTCCTCCTCTGTGACGCCACCCTTGCTGAATGTCAGTAGCTCCTCCTCTCTGTGACTCCACCTTTGCTGAATGTCAGTCTGTGCAGCTCCTCCCCTTTGACGCCACCCTTGCTGAATGTCAGTAGCTCCTCCTCTGTGACACCACCCTTGCTGAATGTCAGTAGCTCCTCCTCTCTCTGAATGTCAGTCTGTGTAGCTCCTCCTCTCTGACTCCACCCTTGCTGAATGTCAGTCTGTGTAGCTCCTCCTCTCTGACTCCAGCCTTGCTGAATGTCAGTCTGTAGCTCCTCCTCTCTGTGACTCCACCCTTGCTGAATGTCAGTAGCTCCTCCTCTCTGTGACTCCACCTTTGCTGAATGTCAGTCTGTGCAGCTCCTCCCCTTTGCTTGCACCCTTGCTGAATGTCAGTAGCTCCTCCCCTTTGACGCCACCCTTGCTGAATGTCAGTAGCTCCTCCTCTCTCTGACTCCACCCTTACTGAATGTCAGTAGCTCCTCCTCTCTCTGACTCCACCCTTACTGAATGTCAGTCTGTGTAGCCCCTCCTCTCTGTGGTTGCACTTTCACTGTATGGCAGTCCATGTGGCTCCGCCTTGCCGTGGCCTCCCCGGTTATTGGGAATGGGTCACAGCTCCGGGTCTAGTTGCTTTGCGTCAGAGACGAAGCCTCGGACCTGCTGGAAGAAGTGGCTGGGAGAATACCTGGTCCTTGGGCTGCAGGTGGCGCAGATCTGCGAGGGGCAGGATGGCCGGGCGTCCATGCGCACACTGGAAGGGCAGGGAGCACTGCGCCAGACAGCGCACCAGATGCCGGCACTCGTCCGCACTCAGAGGATCATTAAACTTCACTGCGCCTGCAACGATGCCATTCATATCAGACCTAAAGGGGAACTCTTCCCTCCCATCACCAGAGAACAACTCCACCATCAAATGATCCCAACTTCATAGAGATACATATCCCGGAGTCCCTATTCCAGAGACCTTCAAGTGTGACATTTAGGATCCTCAGCGGGCCAATCGGCAGTCAGACTCAGTGGTTGGCCTCACACACGTCTATGGGGACCACTGACAGCCGGAGTGCAGCAAGAGGAGTCATGAAAAGA